CTCAGACCCTAAACCCTAAACCGTAAAACCCGAAACCCCCAAACCCTAAAACCCTAAAACCCTAAAACCCCAAACCCTAAACCCTAAAACCCTAAACCCTAAACCCTAAACCCTAAGCCCTCAACCCTAAACTCTAGACAGGTGATCTTCAGTGACCTGGGTCCGGTTCGCATCTGTGCCGCTCGGCTCGCGGTCAGAGATCGAGTCGGCTTGGGTTCCCTTCAGGTCTGGGCTTCAGCGTTTTTTGGAGGCTTCGGTTTAGGGTGTAGGGTTTAGGGTTTAGGGTTTAGGGTTTAGGGTTTAGGGTGTAGGGTTTAGGGTTTAGGGTTTAGGTGTTTAGGGTTTAGGGTTCTCGTACCTCCATCATCACCCGAAGCACAGACCCTGATCACTGTCGACCGCGACTGCGACACTCGCAGTGCTCATGGACCCGAAAACGAACTTCCCAAAGGCCACAAAGCCCAGCCGCGCCGAGAAGCCCCCAAGGACCCTGCCTGCAGCAAAACAACAGGCGTTGTAAAGGGGCCTCAATTATGACCAACACTATTTTGGGGGTTCCTTTTTACAACTATATAATAGGCCCTAAAACCCTATTCTAATTATTAAGGCCCCTTAACCCTAAGCTCTTATAGTAGCCCTTTAAGGAATCCTTTAAGGAGCCCTTTACCCAAAACCCTATTCTAATCATTAAGGCCCCTCAACCCGAAGCCCTTATAGTGGCCCTTTAAGGAATCCTTTAAGGAGCCCTTTACAGGAACCCACATCCAAAACCCTAGTCTAATTATTAAGGCCCCTAAACCGTAAGCCCTTATAGTGGCCCTCTAAGGAGCCCTTTAAAGGAACCCTTTCCCCCAAAACCCTATTTTTTAATCATTAAGGCCCCTAGGCCCTTATGGTGGCCCTTTAAGGTGCCCTTTAAGGAGCCCTTTAAAGGAACCCTTTCCCCCAAAACCTTACTCTCATCATTAAGCCCCCTAAGCCCTGATAGTGGCCCTTTAAGGAGCCCTTTAAAGGAACCCCACACCCAAAACCCTATTCTAAACCCTAAACCCTAAACCCCAAAGGAACCCTCTCCCAAAACCCTATTCTATACCCTAAACCCTAAACCCTAAACCCCCAACCCTAAACCCTAAACCCTAAACCCCAAAGGAACCCTTTCCCCCAAAACCCTATTCTAAACCCTCAACCCTAAGCCCTAAACCCTAAACCCTAAACCCTAAAACCTTATTCAAATCATTAAGGGCCCCCTCTTGGGGGTCGCTTGGGTCCCTCGAGGCCTGCGACTCAGGGAGTCGGCCTTTTGGCTGCCAAAGCGCGCCCCCGGAGGCCTTTTGGGGGTTTGGGGTTCAGGGTTTAGGGTTTAGGGTTTAAGGTTTAGGGTTTAGGGTTTAGGGTTTAGGGTTTAGCGTTTAGGGTTTAGGGGGAGAGGTGGGGAGGGGGGTGGAGATTCTGTGGGGCTCTTCGAGGGTTCTTGGAAGGAGGGGGGGTTTGGGGGATCGCTGTTTTGGTGGTTTTTGACTTTTATGCTCAGTGGGAGCGCTGATGTGGGTTTTGTGCCGCTCTCCGGAGTATTCAAGAGGGTTGTGAGTGAGCCCTGTTGGAGGTCTGCAGCTCTTCTAAATTTGTTGTTTCAATCTCTCTAGGCAGGTTCGCTTTAGGGTTTTGGATTTAGGGTTTAGGGCCTAAGCCCTAAACCCTAAACCGTGGGCAAGACGGAACCACTGACCGAGTTGATCATGGCACGGCTCGAATGGCAGGTAGCAGGGCTTGGGGTTTCAGGGCTCGGTTAGAGCTTCCAGTGTTCAGGGCCAAGGGCTGACACGGCCTGTGTCTACATGCGTATGTGCATGTCCATACACATACAAATTTACGAGTATGTATATGAACATGTATACACTCACATGCACAAACGCATACATCAATATGTCCAAGTATAATATCACTACATAGACATATATATATATATATATATATATAGATATATTTATACATACACACACACACAGTTGATTTAGTGTTGATCAGTTTTCTGGTTTAGAACTTGGCCATTCGCTATTTAGTGCATTCTTTCTTTATTTATTTTGCTTTCGTTCTTTTTGTTTATTTCTTTCTGTATTTCTTCATTTCTTTATTTATTTCTTTAGTTTTTTCTCGCGCTCTCTCTCTCTCTCTCCCTCCCTCTCTCATGCAACATGCTTTGCAAAAAGCAGACTCAACATCTGCTTGTGCATTCGTATTTGTTTGAAACTTGTGCAGTATGACCAGTATGCCTTGCCTCATGCTGTAGTCTTCATACCAGCCGCACCCTCGTAGTAATCGTAGTCATACAGGGAGTAATGTAGGGGCCTAAATACTTGCCTGTACCATTTTGGGGGTTCCTTATTATCAATATGTATAATGGGCCCCAAAACCCCTATTCTAATTATTAATAATTAATTAAGGCCTCTACAGTATCTGCAGTGACAGTCTGGGTCCTCCAGGGTGTGTGTGCGCCCAAAGCTGTGGACGAAGGCTTTCAACGTGCGTGTCACGGTGGATGTGCCCCGCGGCTGAGAATGGGATGCGGTTGCCCAGCACGTGGTTTGGGCACTGACGTTGTGGTTTTCAGGATTTGCAGAGAGCCCTAAATCCTGGTACGCATCTGACGGTTCAGGTTCTAGGGTTTAGGCCTGAGAAATGAGAGTTTAGGGTGACGGGTGTAAGTAGAGGGAATCTGCTGACCTCCTCTTATGTTTGAAGGGGCTCGGTGAGACTTCGGGGGTTCCAGTTCACCCTAAACCCTAAACCCTAAACCCTAAGCCCTAAACCGACTGCAAGCTCAGGGTCCGGAGAGAGGCCTCAATCCTCTAGCAGGCGCCCGCCTAAACGAAGAGGAGCTGAGGTCGAAATCGAAGCAATCCTAAATCTTAAACCCTGAGCCCTAAACCCTAGACCCTAAACCCTAAACCCTAAACCCTAAGCCCTAAACCCTAAACCCTAAACCCTAAACCCTCCGTACTGGGCCGATGAAGAGCGCTCACCCACTGATCCGAAGTAGCGTAGCAGCATCTACCAATCAGGCCCGAGCCTGTTTAGGGTTTAGGGTTTA